TTGTCTGGAGGGTTGTCCTCTTTCTCGAAACTTCTAATTTCTGTTTGCTTAGTGGTTATATTTTTGGGGATTTATTTTTATTTAAGTGAAAGACAGCAGTGGAACTCTACTTTTTGTCTTAAATTCTTGGCACCAGTTTGCAGAGTTAAGGAAGTGCATCTGTGTGTGAAGCCAGTGGGTTTTTATTCAAGGTTTATTTTTAACTAACTTGAATTAACAGGCTAACAGCGGATTCAGGCAGTCCCCAAGATAGGTTCTTTAGGTTTGTTCTTAAGCTGAATGTGTTTTAAGTCAGAACAGGTACATTTCTTAAGTGTAATTCCAGCTAGCTAGCTAACTAGATAGAAGCTTTGAGTAGCATAGGGGTTAACACCCCCATGGTGCTTGTTTTGCTGCCTATGCCCCTGTTCAGAAAATTTCACCACACTTATGTCCTTGTGACATTTGAATTTTGAAAAAAATGGCTTGTTGTGGAAACAGGATTAGTGATAAAGCTTCAATTGAGACACTTTTTTTGCATGATAACTCTTTCAGGAGTGAATTACCCTTCTGGAGGGGTACATTTCTCTCCCTTCCTATTGTCACACCTCTGTTCTTAACTATGAGTTGTTTGTAAGTCAGATGTTTGTAACTCAGAGACTGCCTGTACTGCATTCTCTGCACAAAATAGCAGCCAGGAAGAAAGCTTTGCATCCTTTCCAAAAGTTTGTTGGCTGAATTTCTACTGTCTAAACAACATGGCTTGCATTACTGAGCAGTAGGGATGCAGACTTTACTTTTTATCAAGTCTTTTAATTGATTTCTGTTCTTTCTGGAACAATGATAGGAACATATTGACCTCTTCCTTTTGTTTAAACAACTGGCTTTGATTATTAGGACAGCCAGCATGTCCTAGTGGTTTGAGTGTTGAAGTATGGCCCTGGAGACCAAGGTTGGTTTGGGCATGAAGATCCATTGGGTGACCTTGGGCAAGTGAGATTCTTCCAGCCTCCAAAAACGCTATGATGGGGCCACCTTAGGATTGCCATAAGTTGGAAATGACTTCAAAGCACACAACAAGAACAAATCTTGAGAAAACAATCCATGTTTTTTGGGGGAAAGAATCCCAACTCCTAATATGTCTTTGGCAAGTACAGAATGCATTTTAGACAAATCAGTTTTGAAAATTCGTACTTATTCTTTCTGTATTTGCTACAGCTGGTACAAGCCCTGTCCAGCAACTCCACAGTGAAGGACACATTGGTAGCATTCCAGGCACATAAACGTTTGGATACATTCTGCTTGTGCTCTTAATTATGTGTTGTATATTTTTAAAAACAGACTGCTAAGAGAAAGCTGGAAAGCTTGATTTGGATCTGTCATGATCTACATTGGGATCCAGAGCCATTCACCCTGTAGCCCTTTCTAGTGTTGAAACCCTGCTCTGAAACAGGTTTTGTACCATTTAGTGAGCTGCAGGAAGGAGGGACAATGATGCCTTGTTCACACTTGCACTCATGAAAGTTACTTCAGTATTTATCATGTCAGAAGTTAATTGAATATACAGTTATAATGCATTTTTAAAAACACAAAGTTAAAAACTTGGCATTATACTAGATTTCCTTTGGCCAGAAGCTGGCCGCTTGGAGTGCTTCTGGTGTCGCTGTGAGAAAGTCCTCCATTATGCATGTGGCAGGGCTCAGGTTGCATTGTAGTAGGTGGTCTGTGATTTGCTCTTCTCCACACTCGCATGTCGTGTTGCTTTATTAAGGACAATGGATACATTGGATGTTGGCTCCTGGACCCCAAAACATGCATAGGGTGCCTATACAGTGCCATACCAGTAGATTCATACTGTGACATGTATCTCTCCTTTCAGTATCTCCTTTGGGCTCCTGTAGTGGAATTTCTCTCTCCTTTCAGTATCTCTCTTTGGAGTAACTTTTATTTATTTACTATGATACTATTATATATTACATATTATTTAAATATTGCCTTTCTCCCATCATAGGCACAAGTAAATTGACAAAATGGGGAAAACAAGATGGTGATAATGATACATTATAAAAAGAAACTTTATATACTCATGGATAAATTGACTTTTTGTATAAGTTGAGGACAGGGTTTGTGGCCAAGATTATGGATTTTGATATGATCCCTCGATAAGTCAAATGCCATTCCATGGAGAGGGGAAAGCGCCAATGCTTTGGGGCCAGCAGCTACTACTACTATTTCTCCACCTATTCAGAGAATGGGATGGTTCCATTTTTTGCTAAGAGTTCAGACACACAGGGTTTTTTCATAAGATCTGTGGATAACTTGACCCAGTTTTGGGGGTCAATTTTTGACTAACATTTCTAGATGTATATGTGAGTATAAAAAAGATAAAGTCACGGGACGGTCAAACAAATCATGACATTAAAACACTCTTTTTTTTTTTTTTGCTTTGGAGCAAGGAATGGGCAAACTAATTCTGCGTCGGAGGAGGCAAAAGCTGGATACAACCCATGTTTCTTAGCCGATATGTAGAAGGAAAACAAAGTCCTCATTAACACTTCACAAAGATACAATCTGGCTTTTGATAGAAGCTCTTTTCCTCTTGACATTTCCATGCCTTCATGAGAAAAATATTTCCCTTCAATTGTATGAAAATTAGTTACTGCTAGTAGGCTTTTTTTGCCAAAAATGTAGCTTTTAATTATGTAGTTTGTACTACTTGATTTGCAAAATGAATTTCAGTGACCCATCAGCTACAGTGAAAGTAAGTTTAATTAGGAGTTTAACATATTGCCTATCACTGGTTAATTATTCTGACAGCAGCTTTGAGTTGACTGACAGTGGAATGACTCAAAGCTTGTACGTTGTAATGCATTAAATTCCTCAGAGTAAGAGAATGCGTTGTCCAGTTAAATGTAAGATAGAAATTCTGCCTTTCATTTGATTCAGCTTCCACTTTCTTGGGAAGTTCAGTTCTGCTATGGTGCTGTTTCAACCTTAACCTTCAAGGTATTTTGTAAATACACGGCACAAATGAGAATTGTGGTCCTTTGTTAGAAGGAAATAACCTCTGGTTTGATGTTATAGCAGAGAGACCAGATGAAAACTGTTATCAAACAGTCTATCAAGCTCAGCAATTGTGTACACACTGATGGGCAGATTTTCTTTCTTTCTTTTTATTTAAATTTTAATTAAAATTTAGAATTGTGAAAGATACACGTGCAGTACATATAGCACACATGACACCTACACTACATCTTATTTCACACACCCATAGACCCGCACCTTGATTTCCATCCCTATTCACTGTACCTATAACATTACTTATTTACCCTTCTATCGTGTTTGCCCATAAATTCCTCTTGGGACTATTTATCATTCACTTCTTTGACTCTCCTACCAGTTATACCATTGCCTGTTTCCATCTCTTTAGGAACTCTTCATTGTTTTTACCCACCAAGTTATTGGATGTCTTTGCCATTTGCATGCAATCCATTCGTTTATCTCTCCAGTCCTTTTTAGTTAACACTTTTCCCTCATTCCAATTCCTATAAATAATCATTTTTGCTGCTACAAAACTGTATTGGGCTGTTTCTTTATCATCCTGGTTGGAGCCTTCCCTGAATAAGCCCAGCAGACACATCCCTGGATGTGTTTTTTTTACCTTATTGCACAGCATTTTATTTGTTTCCTTAACTAGATAGATAGATAGTTTTGCTCTTTTTCTTTTTGTTTTGCTAAGGATGTCTTACTTCCTGAAGTTTGATTCCCATTTGAGATGGGCAGTGTTTAATGGGACTGTGTGGTTGTTATTCCTCAGATATTGTGGACACTGGGTTTGTGGTTTTCCAAACAGTAGGAAGAAGGAACACAGTAGTCTCTAGTCCTGTTGATGTGAAATAAGAGAGAAAGCAATTTTCTGAGTTGAAACCGTATCATCAAAATATGTGGCAATTGGAAGGAATGGAATAAGGTTCTATAAAAAGCACACTTCACAATCTTGTATCATTAAGGTAAATTCATAAAAGATATTATTGGGTCTGATTGTTTTTGTGACCTATTTATACCTCTGTACTTCACAGATAAGGAAACTTGTAAATGTGACATTTGTGAGTTTGTATGAAATTGCTTTTGAGCAACAAAACCCCTACTAGAGATTGATCTTGCCAGATGATGTAGTGGTTTGAGCATTGAACTACAACTCTAGAGGCCACAGTTCGATCTCCCTTTGACCTGCAGGCCGGAATCACATACTTTCAGTTCCAAAAACTGTCTAATAAGCTGCTATAAGTCAAAAACAAGCTGATGGCACACAAAAACAACAACAGAGTTCAACCATCTTTTCCTTTCCTCAACATTATACAGCTTGGGAAAATTTACTTTGAAAGCTCAACCATTCACTTAAATATTATATACTGACGCAAGGCTCTGGTGATGCCAGATCACTGGAAAAGCCTACCCGTCCCAGTGCGTGAATATGTCCAGCTTCTTCATGATTGTGTGTACATAGTTGCCCAGGGCTCTAATGTTTATTATTCATTTATTTCATTTATACACCACTTTTCTCAACCTTTGGGGGAGACTCAAAGCAGTTCACAACAAAGTAAATGGCAAAATTCAATGCCTCACAAAATATAAAATACAACACATAACTAAAATAGCACATGCTAATAGATTAAAACCAGTAAACTATCAAACATCAAACATAAACAACATAACACTGGACATTACACCAATCCCGAAGTTATCTTGGCTGCTTCATCTCACTCTCCAAATGCTTGCTTGAAAAAGCCACGTTTTGAGCAGTTTCCTCAATGTTCTTGTCTCGGCAGAATTTGGACTTTTTGAACAACTAAGTTTGTACAAGAAGTAATTGTTAAATGGAGTTGGAAAGGGTTCTTACTTTCTGTGAGTGGCAATTGATATTCAAGAAATTGGTGATGTTTCTCATTGGAAATGAAGCTGAGTTGAATAGTTCTGATTTTATTTTTAAAGCATGCATCTCTTCTTTTTCCTCCCTTTAGGTCTACAATGATAAATGGACTTGTGATAATTTCTGTACTAGTGATGGTGTTCTTTCCTTCACCCAGCATGGAAGGTAAGTACTTGGGGTGCTAGAAAACCTGGGTTGATAATGCTAGTGGTTGCAGGAATCCTGGTTGAGTTTTAATGTTTATTGGTCATGGTAAACTTGACTGGTTTTTTTTCTTCATTATTGCATACCTGTTAGCCAGTGTGGAACACTATAGAGTTGTGTTTGTGGGAAAAATAAGGAAATTGGTAGAAGGGAAGCCAAAAATGAGACCAACATTTATTGTAAAATACTATTTTCTGTATCACTCCATGTTGCTTCCCAAAGTGTTGCCTTGAATGTTTGTGTACATAAGTAAAGGTTTTCCCCTGACATTAAGTCTAGTTGTGTCCGACTCTGGGGGGTGGTGCTCATCTCCATTTCTAAGCCAACCAGCTGGCATTGTCCATAGACACCTCCAAGGTCATGTGGTCAGTATGACTGCATGGAGCGCTGTTACCTTCCCGCCAAAGCGGTACCTATTGATATATGCCAGTGGTTCTCAACCTGTGGATCCCCAGATGTTTTGGCCTTCAACTCCCAGAAATACTAACAGCTGGAAAACTGACTGGGATTTCTGGGAGTTGTAAGCCAAAACACCTGGGGACCCACAGATTGTGAACCACTGATCTATTCATATTTGCATATTTCCTAACTGCTAGGTTGGCAGAAGCTGGGGCTAACAGCAGGAGCTCACCCCGCTCCCCAGATTCGAACTGCTGACCTTTCGGTCAGCAAGTTCAGCAGCTCAGAAGTTTAACCCACTGTGCCACTGGGGGCTAAGTAAAATAACACTATTATTTTTATTGATATCCTACCTTTCCCCCAGTTTCGCACTTAATGTGGCTTATCACAATTAAATCAAACATTGTTAAAAATTAACAGGATACAAATGTTGAAAAGCAATTAAGCCATCATAAAATTAAAACCAGTGGCAACAAATTAACAACCAAACCCCAAAACAAATAAAAGTCCATAAAAGGCCTATTCACTCTGAAAAATCAATTCTCAAAAACACGTCAGAATAAAGAGGTTGTTATCTGTTTACAGAAAGAGGGCACGAAAGGTGGCAGTTTAGCTTATCTGGGAAGAGAGTCTCAGAGCCTGTATGTATGGAGGGGAAGGCAGTTGGGTACCCCTTGGACTATAACTCCCATAAGACTCCTTCAATATGGCTAATGAGTTCTTGAGTTTGTAGTCCAAATCATCTTGGAGGTACTGAGTTTTGCACTTTTGATGTGGAAGAGATGGTAAGCAAAGCATGGAAAAGGCATGGCATTTCTCCATAACAGATTTGCTGCATCCTTAATGAAGTATGTGAGAGGGGAGTAAATAAGGACTTTACATGAGGGCATGCATTGTACGATAAAGTGTGGCTGGAGGAGCAGTGGAAAACAAAGTGAGAATTTCCCCCTTTCTGGCACATCTCTTCCACCATAACCCAACTGTGTATATGTTGATTTTACATAGTCATGGCGTGACATTTGCCAGATGGCAGAAAAAAAAGCTTTCAAAAACACATTTTTGGAATAATCTAACTAGGATTTTATCCAATTAATCTTGGAGTCGTATTCCCAATACTCCAACTTGACAATTACAGGCTTCTTCTGATTGATATGCCATTTTGCTTCATGTCCAACTGTTTTGTTGATCTTTAAAATAGCTGTTTTAGTTAACGTTAAATGCTAACTGTCCACGTTCATATCCATATGTTACTACAGGGAGCTTGCCAAAGGACAGATGTCAGTTTAAAAGGGTGGAATGAGAAATAGGCGAGACTAAAACAGTCGTAGGGATTAGGTGCCTTCGGCATAGTAGAGCAGATAGGTTGCTAGCATTAGTGCCCGATTTTGCTGTATTTGTTGCTGAGCAGTTGTGAGAAAGAGTTCAGGTGTTGATTCCTGAATTAGATATCTGTTTGCTTTGCTCCAAGAATTTCCCATACTACATGGTTATTAGCTTAAATGCTTCTCTTGTAGAGCCTTATATTTGTGGAGGATACATTCCCAGTCCATTTCGTCATTTGAGATTGGGGGAAAATGTCATTAAGGCCGCAAGTCATAGAAAGGAGTGGCTGTCTCACACGTTATTTATTTTGTATTGCATAAATAAATAAGTTTATCCCTGATAAAATAAAGGGAGTACTTGCAGCTAAATAGTTTTAGACCAAAAACGGGCAACAGTAACTGCATTGTCTGTAGCTTGAAACAGTTCTTCCTCTGCGCATGAGGCAGGGCCTTGTGGGCAGGCATACAAATGTGGAGCTGTTTGTTCTGCTATACAGTTGCGCAAGGTGGAGGATTCTTCTAGATAGTGCCATTTTGCAAGGTTGTCTTTTGATCTACTTCTGAGTCTATTCAGGGACTTCCAAGTTGCCCATCCTAGGTTTGCCCCTGGAGAAAGACTCTCGTGGGGGGCCATCCAGTTGGAATTGCTTGATTTTGCTGCCCATCGGGATATTCTTGCTGTTGCTGGGGGAGCATTAAGAGGAGTGATGGTTCTCATGATCACAAGTCAGAGACATTCTCCATTTCTGCCAGTAAAAGGGTCTCAATAGTGCTGCTTTTTAAATTATAAATATTGGCACGACAAAAGTTGAAAATATTTTATGGTCAGCCTTATCATATGATACTTTAAATATTTTTAACAAGAAATTTCTGAAGTTAAACACCCCCATCTTTGATCACAGGGCCTCATTCTCTTTGTTCATCCTAACCAGATTCTATACCTCTTTATATACCATGTTCTCATTAATTCAATCAATGTTCTTTAGTTGGTATAAGCAATTGTATTTAGAGCAGGGATGGGAGTTATGCAGCCTCCAAGTATTTAGTTGGACTACAAGTCACATCCCCCTAGTGCCTAGCCAGAATAACTATTGATAAGGAATATTGGGAGTTGCACTCAGAAAATACCTATTTATTGATTATATATTTTTTATTTATACTGTGCCTTTCTCTTTGTGTGGACTCAAGGTGGTTAACAACCACACAATCTGGTCAGAATTTAAAACAAAACGAATACAATTTTATTGTCGAAGGCTTTCATGGCCAGAATCACTGGGTTGTTGTAGGTTTTGCAGGCTATATGGCCATGTCCTAGAAGCATTCTCTCCTGATGTTTTGCCTGCATCTATGGCCTCAAGAGGTTGTGAGTCCTCTGAGGTCATAGATGCAGGCAAAACATCAGGAGAGAATGCTTCTAGAACATGGCCATATAGCCTGAAAAACCTGCAACAACCCAGTAATACAATTTTTAAAAAACAAATCTAATTAAACAGTACTGTGTGGATTTAGGGGTAAAAAACAGTTAAAATACAATTAAAATTACATTTAAAACTCACAATACCCCTGGAGTGCCATCCCCAGCCTCCCCAAAAGCGTGTCCCTCATCCTTCCTCAAATGCCTCCTGGCATAGAAAGGCCATGATTTCTACTCTTGATTTAGTCCCAGATTGTTCCCTTGTTTCGTACCTTCATTACAGGTTTGTTTTATTTGGAATTAAAATGCTATTACACTTCAGTTTATTTAGTGGACTTTGTGTTCTCATTATCCTTTAAACAATCTCCAGTGAATAGCTTCCTTTATAGCCTAACATTTAATATTGCTTCCTCTGAGCCAAGAGATGTTGTGAAGGTTAAGATGAGTATCATGGTGTCTCTTTCTAGAGTTTGGAAGCAATAAATTATGGGGGGAAACCCCACAAACAAGCAACAAGCCCCTCTTTGGTAAGACGCGAGTTAACATGATCACATTTCAATGTATCAGCAGAATGAATAATGTTTCTAGTTACTTTTCAAATTACTTTGAAATAGCATTTCTTGATCTTCTGGCAAGAGTTATGTAAATCCGATTAATCTTGAGGGTTTTTTTTTTAAAGACAGGCAATAAAATTTATTAGTTCCTTTAACAAACATTAATGGTTGGAATATAAGTGTAGCATGAGGAGTGTTTCAAGTGTTCGATTTGGACAATGGGAGACCTGATTTGAAAACCCACTGAGCTGTGGAAACCCTTTACATGACCATGCACAGGTCACACCATCTCAGCTTCAGAGGAAGGCAAAGGCAAAACTCTTCTTAACAAATTCTGCCAAGAAAAACCCATGATCAGTTCAGAAATGACTTGAAGACAGACGACAGTAACAAGTGATTGGAATAGATTGGTTTTGAACAGTTAATTTCCCAAGTTTTGCCTGTTTCTGTGACTCTCCAATTGATGTTGCTGATTGTAGTTCCTATTAGCCCCATGCAGCCTAGCCCTTGGAGAAAAAAGGGTAATTTGACAGCATCTGGAGGACCACGTGTATCTTCTCACCATGTATCATTTTTCTCATCTCATAGGCTTTGTTAGGCCAAATTTTGATCTGATGGGAAAGGGATTGTGGTTACAGTGTTGGCGCCCTGGGTTAAACCCTTGTGCCGGCAGGACTGCTGACCAAAAGGTTGGCGGTTCAAATCCGAGGAGCAGGATGAGCTTCCATCTGTCAGCTCCAGCTGAGAGAGAAGCCTCCCACAGGATGGTAACACATCCGGGCGTCCCCTGGGCAACGTCCTTGCTAACGTCCTAATTGTCTCACACCAGAAGCAACTTGAAATTTCTCAAGTCTCTCTGGACATGAAAAAAAATTGTGTTTGTCTTTGCTGATTCTCCTGAAGGACAATTGTTTTGGGGGAAAGATGAGGTTATCCAACTTCAGTAAGACTTCCAAGCTGTATAAACAGATAACTGACACAAACATCACTTTTACACTGACAAAGCTGCAAGGAAAGTCGGAGACCTCAGGCGACGGATTCTTGGTTTGTTTGCTGTCAATAGCAGTGGAAAAGTAGACGGAAAATTTAGGTCAGTGCGAGTCCAACATTGTGTTCTGTTTCCAGACAGTCAATTTCTGTGGTGTGAGCTGAGCTCTGTATATCTTTATTTTCCCCTCTCCACTCTGCTTTTAGCGATAACACTTACTCTTTGGAGTGCAGGCTTGTATTATTCAGAGGTTAACATAAGTGAAAGTCTTTGATAGGCCAAGA